GGGGGGGGGGGTGTGATGGCTCCCATTTCAGCTGGTTGACAGAGGAAGGCGATGAAAAGGCTCACTGAAGGAGTCTAGAAGAACACGTAAATCAAACGGGGTGTGTTGTGATATTTTTATTTCACGCCTTCACAGTATGATTTGGATTTCTGAAATTGGCTTTGGAATGGCCTCCCGCTGAACGGTGGGCAAGCCCCCGTCGCTGCCCATCTTTCAAACTCGTCTTCAAACTGATTTTTAGTCTTTGGCTTTTGACTCGGCACGAGGCTTGATTTTGAGTCGGACCGTTTCTGTGCTTTCCACTGTCCTTGTTATTAATTTATTGGTCTGAATGATTTTTGCTCCACGGACGTCACTTTGCATACGGCGCTGGTTGTTGTCAAGGGCTCGAAAAATACACTTGAGTTGCTCTCTTGTCCGACATCGAAGAATCTTTGAATTTCTAACTGGGCCGCAACATAACATGTCCTCTGTGAAGCCATCAAATCTTCTTGTATCTCTTGGCCAGGCACACTGTCAGTCACGAGTGAAAAAGACATTTGACTGTCTCAAAAATCTGGGTGACATTGATGCCTCCAGGGTTGGTCTTTGCAATATGCAAGGTTTAATGGTCAGGAATGGAATGTTGGAGGGAGGGGGACTGGGGGGGGGGCGGGGTTCACACACAAGCCAGTAGTGATGCAATAGTACGGAGCTCTGTGACTCTTACCTCACATGACTGAATGCAATGAATGTTTTCAAGAGGCGGGTACCACTTCATCATCCCTGTGCAGACAATGGTCTGGAAATCAAAGCAAAACACAAGAAGGAAGGTTGAGCAAGCCGACGTCAAGGTCAAAGAGTTTATCAAGCCTAAAATTGCTTTTGTTGACATCAAAGCAGGAGTGCTGAAACGTCCCTCCAAATGGGCCCCTCCTTGCCATCGACCCAAAATGCTTCGGTGCTCAGGTCATGACCGTCCGTCGTGGCTCAGCCGTTCTCTGGCTTTGGTCATGTGACGTTGGCAAGCGAGCCCCGAGGTCACTGAGTCATTTTAAGTCGACAGGAAGTGGCCACCCTCTGAGATGGAACGAAACAAGTGGCTTTCACATGCTTACAGAGTCGATCGGTAGCGTGGCGAAGCGACGGGGGGGAATTCCGCACCCTCCATTTTGTTCACAAGCAAGGTCGCGGCGACGGTTAGCTTCCCAGGGTTCGTCGTAACCAAAGGCCTTTTCACTATTTTGTGGGGGAAAAAAATCTAGTCGTTCCAATGAAGTTGACGTTCTCGAGGTGCCCGTTGCGAGCACAATCGGCAAACGGAAAATGAATTGCGTGAAATCGGAACTTTGAAATGTGACCGTTAGCGCGGCGGCGGAAGCGGCGTCAACGGAGTCCGTCGAAGCGAGGTTGGGCTGAATGTTGATTTTCAATCATTTTCAATTTCCATCTGTGATGGATATTCGCAAAAAATGTCTCAGAAGCGAAGAAATACAATTAGCGGTCTCCAGCCACAAGTGCTTATTGACCAGAAGACGTTTAGCGGACGGCAACCAGAAAGGCAGAACCTCCTCGTGGGCTCGTCAGGCCGATCAGATATTTGAGATGCCCTGAAATCACAAAGGCGGCGTCAGGAGGACGTTGAAAGCAAGCGAACCGCGATCCAACTATTTGACCTTGGTAAGGTCAACTTCACTGACTGTCTGGCAGGCTACCCGACCACCCAAAAGCGAGGCAAAAGGGAGTCGGCGTCGACAGCGTTCGCTTCCATTCTATTCATGAGGTATGACGCCGCGTAACGCGATCCAACTTTGGAGCGCGAGCTGGCCGCGCAACAACTTTGTTCAATGCGTGTGGATGTGATTCCTGCAAACTTGACGTCAACTGCAACCTTTCCTCTTGCGGAATGCGATTATTTCCAGTCAGACAAAAACACTTGGACACGCATCCAAATACACGCTGGAAATGTGATACGCTGCTGTAGTTGAGAAATAAGAATGTTTTCCTAGAAAATCTTGCCAACGATGCGGTCAAAGATCTGATCAAAGCGAAGACATATTCGTAAACGTCAACGACATATTCATTTCTTACTCCGCAAGTCTGAGAATGTCGGGGGTGGGGTTGGCTTAGGGGGAATTTGCATCTTGTGTAATATTGATGTTTTTCAGTCACTGCAAGGATGGATAAGGATGACTATAAAGCATGTTCGATCCAAACTACGGCCCTCGGGCCATTTCCTGCCCGACGTCCCTTTTTTTGTTTATATACCGCAGAACTTTTTGCTGTATTCGAAGATACAAATAAAGCGAATCACACAATTTACCTTCAAAACACTGAAGTGAATTCAGACCATTCCATTTTAGAGGCAAAAATACTCATCATAAATAATCACACGAATGATCCTCAAGTAACTGTTGCTTATCGTGGCGCGCGTGCGATCACGGGTCGATCGCGGGAGGTGGGTCGCTTCCGTCGAAAAATGGTTGAGCGCCCCCGCTTTCCGATATTCCAAATGGCACCGTCTTTGAAATCAGTTGAACTTTTGACCTCGGGCCAAGGATACGCGAAGAGTTTTTAACCGTTTGGGAATGTCATTGAGAGCGAAGGAAAAGTCCAAGAAAACCACACTTCCATTCCAAAGGTTGAGTGTGGCAAGTGGACCCAAGCAAGCGAGGCAGCGGTGCAGCCAAGCGAGCCATTATGCGTCCGCGGAATTCGACTTAATATGAGTCAATCCATAACATTGGCTCGACGGCAACTTCGGCACGCTGTTGTTCACACCGCCAGCTGTTTCGGTGCATTCATTATTCATTCTGATGGATTTATTTATTTGCCCTTTTTTCGGTGGTTCGGCTTTCAGGACAGTCCAGATTGGTTACATGGTAACGGGGAAACAAAACAACCACTTTTTTTTTCCAAAACCTGCCAAATCATCGCTATTGTTCTTGTCCATCTCACCTGAAGTTTAATGGGAAGCATCCAGTGTTGTAAAGAATCAACTGTGGAGCCATTGGGCAGAACCACCGGGTCACGAAGATCCATGTCCGGGGTCAAGACGCATGTCGGATGACAAACGGCCCCTGCGCGAGAAGAAACCAAACGTACGTTCGCTCTTGAATTCCAAGTTGAAAAACTCAACACAGCAGAACCGACTGTCGTTCCATCCACAGTCAGGGTGTCAGGAAATAAAATGCACTCATGTACCCCCCATGTTGTTGGATTCACCTGGTGCTTTAAGATGGGCGGGGCTGCCACTGACAGGTGACCGTTCGCGTGACGTCTAAAAAGCGGCATCGCAGTTTGTTTCGTGAGTTGAAACACTTCGTCGTCAGCATGGCCCAATGGTGAGTTACGTTTGTGTCCGCTTTTCTTTATCAGATATGGAGAATTATCCTTTGGATTCAATCGTGCACGCTCGCTTTCTTTGTTTGTGTTGTCTTGGGTCCGTCGTGCTTTATGTTTGCCGCATCGCAATCACAGTCAATTACTGTTCGCAATCGGCACTTTCCACAGCGTGGGTAAAAGTCTACAATCGCAGCGGTGTCTTTATTTAGTTCTTTTTTGCATAGTTGCCATGTTGTCCGGGTGCACCAGAATGTTTAAACCGAGTAATTTGCGTTACGGCTGGAGTTAATCATGCCGGCGCTCCACTTCCGGGTTTGGCCGCTGGGACTTGTAGTCCTTTTGTTCGATTCCACTTGATATGTTTGTGTTGTGTTTTCTTACGTTTAGAATAATGATGACGATAATAATACATACTGTGAAATCATGGTTGATTGAATTATTTAGTAAATTTATTGTTAAAATGAAGATATTAAATTAATGAATGTCAATTATATACATATTTACATTGTGATGCATAAAGATATACTGTATATTTATATTGATTGCATTTATGTGTACTTTAGGTTATTACCTGATACTACTACTTCTGCTTCTATTGCAAAGTGGATTTATTTATTTGCCCTTTTTTCGGTGGTTCGGCTTTCAGGACAGTCCAGATTGGTTACATGGTAACGGGGAAACAAAACAACCACTTTTTTTTTCCAAAACCTGCCAAATCATCGCTATTGTTCTTGTCCATCTCACCTGAAGTTTAATGGGAAGCATCCAGTGTTGTAAAGAATCAACTGTGGAGCCATTGGGCAGAACCACCGGGTCACGAAGATCCATGTCCGGGGTCAAGACGCATGTCGGATGACAAACGGCCCCTGCGCGAGAAGAAACCAAACGTACGTTCGCTCTTGAATTCCAAGTTGAAAAACTCAACACAGCAGAACCGACTGTCGTTCCATCCACAGTCAGGGTGTCAGGAAATAAAATGCACTCATGTACCCCCCATGTTGTTGGATTCACCTGGTGCTTTAAGATGGGCGGGGCTGCCACTGACAGGTGACCGTTCGCGTGACGTCTAAAAAGCGGCATCTCAGTTTGTTTCGTGAGTTGAAACTTCCTCGTCAGCATGGCCCAATGGTGAGTTACGTTTGTGTCCGCTTTTCTTTATCAGATATGGAGAATTGTCCTTTAGATTCAATCGTGCACGCTCGCTTTGTTTGTTTGCTTTGTCTTCGGTCCGTCGTGCTTTATGTTTGCCGGATCGCAATCACAGTCAATTACTGTTCGCAATCGGCACTTTACACAGCGTGGGTAAAAGTCTGCATTCGCAGCGGTGTCTTTATTTCGTTCTTTTTGCATAGTTGCCATGTTTGTCCGGGTGCGCCAGAATGTTTAAACTGAGTAATTTGCGTTACGGCTGGAGTTAATCATGCCGGCGCTCCACTTCCGGGTTTGGCCGCTGGGACTTGTAGTCCATTTGTTCGATTCCACTTGACATGTTTGTGTTGTGTTTTCTTACGTTTAGAATAATGATGACGATAATAATACATACTGTGAAATCATGGTTGATTGAATTATTTAGTAAATTTATTGTTAAAATGAAGATATTAAATTAATGAATGTCAATTATATACATATTTACATTGTGATGCATAAAGATATACTGTATATTTATATTGATTGCATTTATGTGTACTTTAGGTTATTACCTGATACTACTACTTCTGCTTCTATTGCAAAGTGCTTCAATAAATGATCAAAAAAGTACAGAGCGAGTAATCCTTCCATGCCGACTGACGATCCCTATTCAGAGGGCCGTGAAAAACGGAAATAACTGAACACATGTTGTACCCACACTTTCGTCATACAAGCAGGAACGAATCGAAGTCAAAAACAACATTGAGAATTGTGAAGAATGAAGAAATTGTTGTGTCATTGCACTCGTTAAGAGGTGAACGAATGAGCCGTCGATTGGCGGTCGATAATTTGTGTCCTTGGTAAAAAAAATGATCACTCTGATCATCTGTTGGCTAGTGAATCAGTCCGTGAGATAAAAGAAAACGGTGATAGAGTCCACAAAAGCAAAGAACAAACATGCTTGTGAATTAAGATGAGCAAAACGGTGCTATATACGCAGCGTCCGTGTGTCATCTTTTGGCCAGCCTTTAGTGAGCCGTCGCATCACCCTGGCCCCCCCACGGAATCAATTCTGGCTCCGCCCATGGAGTCATGTGACACTAGTCTCTCAGCCAAACCCAATTAGATCACATAAGCGGTATCGACAGAAAAAAATATATACTTGAAGCGAGCCGAATGCCATGCACTATAGCTGAGTAATAGTGTTTCACAAAATACTCAAGAAAAAGTCTAGAATGAAGTTGCATTCAAACAACGTTAAAGATGTTCTTGAAATAAATGTCATTGAGTAAAATGTCGCTACCGACTACCCACCTCTGCCTATATGATTTGCTCTTACACCATGAATGAAGGTTACGTGTATGACACAGTTTGCCACAAAATAAAGTCATCCGCGGTGTGATTTTTTTACTCACCAATATCCATGCCCCCATCACAGCTATACGCTACAGAGTTTTGATCTGTGGGAGGAGAACAGGACCCCTGTAGCCCGGAGCACATGGTAAATTGGGCTGTCCATTCGCCGTCTTTCGTGCAGCGAATCGCACTCTGAAAGGTAGCAAGCAAAGTCAAGCACAAGATTCAGTTATTCATGGCTGGCATCGGCTCCAACACCACCCGCGGCCCTCGTGAGGAGAAGCGATTAGGAAATGGATGGATGGATTTCTTCTTCTAATGAATCGACTGACCCATCGCTAATCTGTATTTTTCTTTTTCTTTTTTTCTGCCAAATATCAGAATTGGCATCTGTCTTGGTCCAACCCCACTGTCGCGATCCACAGTCTGAACCGGAATGTACTTTGCGAGTCCTCCGGGTATTGTTCTTATTGCAACCGCTATTGCTGTCCAAGACTTTGGCCAATAAGCTCCTCGAAATCAGGAGGGTTTGTCCGAGATGAGCCAAAGTGATGCTTCTATCATCTTGTTTTCGACATTTGCTTCTCTTCAGATAAAGTGACGGTTCTGCAAGTGTCTCACTTACATTTTCACTTGCATCTGGACACCGCAGGGTGCAGACAGTGTCATAGAAGAGGCCATTGGTGCATCGATACATGCCCTGGAAAACATCGGGGAAGGCCGGGCACGCTATGGGCTCACATGAGGCCTCCTCCCACTGCCCTTCCTCAAGGCACTCGGACTTGAAGTATTTCCTGAAAGCGACAGAAATGTCAGAAAGCCCCTTTGCTGGCTGATTAGGGATTTCGAAACGCCAACAACTGTGAGCGCAAGACCCGGCACCAAAACGACTCACCTCAGTGTCTTATTTTTGAGACTCCCCAGTACGTAGAAGCCCGGGTTGCATTTGAAACGGCAGGTGGAGCCGACGTCGTGGCTTGAGGACAGGCACTCTGCCGTGAGCAGCTCGGCGTTGGGGACTTTTGGAACCTCCGGGCACTCGATCTTACAGTATGCCTCCGGAAAAGACCACAGCCCGTCCTCCAAACATACTAAGCGGTCATTGTCACCTAAGAATTGGGAGGAGGGGGACAAAGGGAGTCAGGGCAGTTCGCTGTCATAGAAAGGAGGTTCCTCGCGAGCAAATTCTTGGCTGGGCCACTTGAATGCAGAATAATTGACGTTGTCTGATCTCGAAGGAGGTCGCTAACTCTGTCATGCAATGAGGCTAGCGCACATCCAATCATAATCATCGTATCTATCCCACCAATCTCAGGACAAACGACCATCGGCGCTCGCAATCAATCACACCTAGGGACAATTTCAAGCGTTGCGCTAAACTGCCGGACGTGGTTTTGGAATGTGGGCGGAAAGCTCTGCGCTGTGAGACCGATGTGCCAACCGGCTGCCCTTTATTTTTGTACAGAAAAGATGGGTTCATGTCTACAAACAGGTGTTTGGTGGCAAATACTACCGACACCCAGAAAACGGGAGGGACGTCAAATGCCCCCGATCACGACACCTTTGAAGCCACGGGCGTGTTGCTGTGAGACAACGCTGCTCAACGTTTCAACACTGCGCTGGTTTTGTCTTGGTTTTGAATGTTCCATGGCTTTCTTTTTTGTTGTTTATTTTGACGGTTGATCACGTCACCGCTTCTGCCTCCTGTCATTTCTAAAAGCCCTCATCCAAACCGGTCGCTATTGCAAGCCTTGTCTAAGTATGTGTGGATTCTTGTCAAACCCAAGACAGCAACCGCAAATTCTGCAAATTGAACTTGAAGACAAAACAGTCCACACGGAGGAACAAGTAGGTCACATTGTGGCCTGATTTGGCTCAGATAACATTCTTGTTTTCCTCGCGGGCTCCGTGCCGCGATAATACAGAGAGCGAAAGCGATGTACTTCTTCGTTCTTTATGCGGAACACAAATGTCGATTATCGGTGTGGAATGTACAAACATTCCAAAGTGATGATGAATGTAGTGGATCTAATAATTGACAATCATCTGTTTTGAAAATGCTGGCACAGGTAGAATCCAAACGTGTTAGTTGGACTTGGTACTGGACATCTTCTCGTGACAAGCGCACATCTTTAGTTGATGTGGAATGGCGTCCAAACCAAAAGCCACAAACTCAATTATTTCTGTGCAATCTGTTTCCAGATCACAAAAAAAAACAACAGAAAAAAACACTGGGGTCATACTGCTGAATCCACAGTGACATTTGAGCATTCGACCGCGGCTTGTGGACCACAGGCGAGCTAGCCTGCACCACATTTGTCCATTCTGATGATTTCATGAATGTAGTGAATTGCCAGAGCAGAACGTTGGCTATATATGAGAAAAAAAATGGAATGGAAGATAGAAGAGTATTTTTGACATAAAACTGAGTCATCGTAGGGACTCAAACACTGATTAGCATGAAGGAAAAATGAGTCAGCTGCCACCTTTCCCTCAAACGAACTTCACTTTCAACTTCACATTTCCAGTACAGGTATGTGAATGGTTATTATTCGGAAGTTGATTATTGACTCGAGTCAGACAAACGACCCAACTGGCATCACATCGGACCATGCTTGGGAAAAAGTTGCGATTTACCTTGAAGTATGGCCGGGGAGCCACAAGTAAAGGAGCATTGCTTTCCGTAGGTTGTTCCCCTGGGACAACTGAAGATGGCGTGGTAGACGTGAGCCTGATCGGGCGGGCCACAGTCGACGGGCTGGCAGCTAACTGCGCGATTCCATAAACCATGAAAACATTCCATCTCCGTCTGTCTCTGGAAGAAGTCGGGGCGAAAAAGTCAGAGGGCGAGTCCAATCAAAATGCGCCATTCATCCATTCTCCGAAGCGCTTCTCCTCACGGAGCCGATCCCAGCCGTCTTTGGGCAGCAGGTGGCGCCCACCCTCAACTGGTTGCCAGCCAGTCGCGATCAGCAAAGTCATCTTTTATCCAATCAAATGCAATCGCTTTCTCGTTGTGAGATAATCACATCATGGATGGTTGAATGGATGAAAATTAGTCAAGGGGCCGCTCAGAGTGAAGTGAGGAGGGGAGAGGGGGCGGGCATGCGGGCCCCCGAGCTACCGGTTGTCCCTCCCTGACCTGTGCGCTTGCACCTTTAAGAGGTTGGGAACTCATATTGAGGACCTTCGTGTCACTTCCGCATGAAAGTCACACGAATATTTTTTTCAGTGTCAACTCACTATGGATCTTCCAACACATTTTGCAAATGGAGAGATATTTTTCACTCAGTCAATTCCCAAATTGTTTTTAGGGGGAAACGCATGTATTCATTGCGGATCTGCTGCCTGGACCGAACGGTAGATAGACGTTATTGATCCCGAGGGAAACGACACTGGTCCAACGTCTGATGGAGTAAATATGCTCACGGATATCCCAGATGGGCCGTGGCCCGCTACGGGTCCGCGGACCGGTGGTTGGGGACCCCCGCTGTAATACATGAGTCATTATTCATTAATACCTGGTGCGGAGGAATGACCCTTCCGTGAAGGACAGTGACGCTGAAACCCAAGTGGCACTGGACAGTGCAGTGAGACGACTGCCCCCCTCCTACACACCTGCAAGCGCACATTTCTACTTTGATCAGCTTGCACGTTGCAGATAAAATTGCGTTTTATTACACCGGACCTACCTGACAGAGGCGCGCTCTATTTGGGGTGGGTTGCAGCTGTCCATTTGACATGTCTGCCTTAAACACCTATTGCGGGGACACGGGAAAGAAGCGGAGGCACGCCAAAACAAAAAACAAATAAAAAAAGGGGGAGAGAGAGAGAGAGAGAGAAATTAGAAACCATACTCGTCTTGCCTTGATATTGAAACCCATCGTAGTAGTGGAAGTTGCTCGCAAAATGATGCGAAGCCAAATAGCTTGAGATTTGTATTGTTAAGTGGTGCGGTGCACGTGGGTCGTTGTGGGAGAGCCCACCCTCTGATGCGCACCCGGTCACGGCGAAGGTGCTGAAGTGGCAGGACGTCCTCAGGGCGACGCCCCCGATTGCCACGGACGAGGAGGAGAAGAGGAGGATAACGGATGAGGTGAGGAAGAAAGGCTGAGAGAGGTCATGGGTCACGTTCACCACCAATGGGTTCCGATGGCATGAGAGGCTATGGGTGCCTTGAATGGAAATACGTCATTGACTTGCATGCACAATAAACACTCGTATGTGACATATGCACTTTTCAACTGACAGATTTGTTATTTTTTTATGCGTACAAGCAAGTTCTTGAAAGCCAAAGTACCTAATGAATGATTCTTTCCCATAGTGTCAGAGAGGAGGATCGTAGCCGACCTCTGACAGTGTTCCCCGCTCCATGACCCGTCTGAAGCCAGATACACAATGACAGAAGATGCCACTCCGGAATGGACAAATCCCACCTATCAGAATAGTGGTAAAAACATTTCAAACGTATTTGTCTCAGAAAGATATTTTCGCCTCCGCCGTTTATGACAAGTGATCATCACTGAAAAGAGGAAATAAAAAGACTGCCCAACTTTGAAATTCAGACCGTTTCAATCGATTATTGGAATTATTTTTATTGCAATAATCCCTCGTTTTCCACGGTTGATGGGGACTAGAAACCCCCCCGCCGAAGGTGAAAACCGTGTGGTAGGATTTGCACCCGCCCCAGGAATTTTCGTGTGTGTATATGTGGGTACCGGCATGTTTAAAATATGGAAAGAGTATTTAGACTTCACAAATTTGAGACAAAGATGACGGCGGTACACGTATTTACTTCAATCTATAATTATAATTAGAACCTTCTACAATAATCAACATTGCAAGAGGCTTGTGTTGATGGCGGCATGAGCGGCTTCAAGGGGAAACGACATACATGGCGGGTGCTATAATGACAACTTTTCCGATAGTTCAAGTTGGTGAAGGCCGCCTTCGAAAGCAATTGCAGAGCTGATAAAGAGGGCAGGGAAAGATGAGTCATTCACGTAATCAGTCAAGCCTAAAATGACCCCCGCATGATAGATGAGTCTCGCTGCCCATCAATCTGGGAGGCATTGGGGAGGCCATTGAAAGAAAAAAAAAAAAATCATTATTTTAGGGAGTCATGTTTTCAGTTGTCAATATGACACGTTCAGCCCAAGGTCGGACGTTTACATTGCAAAAAAGTCAAGATAATGTCCCGATAGGGATCACGAACCCTTTGAAACAACAAGATAAAACAGTCCAAACCACCCGGCAAATGATTCGTTTGACGTGCGAGGGACTGAAATGTATTGCCAGCGACACACATACCGAAAAGGAAGAATGTCCGTCCATAAGCTTACCTTCAGCCAAAATGGATGTTGGAGGTCATTACTTGTGTCAGAATGAGCTGTGCAAGGGAACCATGCATCACTAGGCAGTTTTTCACTCACATCCATGTACTGGTACCTACACAGCTTGACAGAGTAAATATAAACAGCAGCTTTTAGACGCTCCGTTGCCCTTTTTTGACTGAAAATATTCTGGCTTCGACAGCACAAGATGAATACGGGACACAAAAAGCAGCGTTTCAACCTTGAGAGCCGGTGCTGTGTGCCGTGTACGTCGGGATGGGAGACCCGACTTCGAAGATCACAACAGATCATAAGTTAGACGTGAAAAAAATAGAGCTGAACAAAAAAAGGCTCTCCTTTCACGAACTGGAAAGAGGCGGATTAGCCCTAGGCCCGGTGTTGGTATTCTTGCAACCAGAGCACAGGTCGCTTGACTTTTGAGACGGAGGCGCCGATCTTTTGTGAAAAGATCGGTATGGGCAATCGCCGCTTGAATCATCTGTTTTGTTTTGCTTTGGTTTTTTTTCCCCCTGAATTATGTGGAGGATTTTAGCGGTGTTTGAAATGCTCCTTCCATGCATTTTTTGATGAAGATGCCCCTTGTCGCCTTGCTTGCAGATTAAATATAAAAACAGCCAGCGTCTACCGAGTGCAATCGATGCCCCACAAAAGGCCCCAATTGGAGTGAACGATCGCCTAAATGGAATGTTTTATGCGTCATACTTTTTTATATGACGGTTCACCGGTGGCGGCGTGTGCGGGACAGCGATCGGGTTCCTGATGAGAAGCCGTAGCCGTCGATGCCCACTGGTCGGTGTAACCCAAGGGTGTGAAATAACCACAGTCCTGAATGCTGGAAACGCGTTCAAACTCTTCGCACACGCCGTCCCCATCAAAAACGTAACATTGGCTGGGTTTGCCTGTTGGAGAAAGAGCATAGGAAAGAAGGATTTATTCTCTATTAAACATCCAGATTTATAAATCTGGCAGGACATTTGATCCAAATCTGTCCGTCCGTGAACCAAATCTCATGAAATCGACATTTTATTTTCGTGAGCCAGAGTTATGGTAGCCGCGTCAATTCCAAAGGCGCAGTATCGGCCTTTGTGTCAACAGACGCAACACTTAGAATATTTGAAGACCACACCAGGACGTGGGCGAATGAGGCAACACAAAACCGCTTTGCGTGCTTGACGATCGACAGGTGCTACATCAAAGGAGCGCGGTCAACAAGGAACCTTACAGGCAACGAATGAAAGGCTCTGTCCCGTATTACGTACCGTGTCTGCTGGTCTTTTGTTGTTGTGTGTGTGTGTGTGTGTGTGTGTGTGTGTGTGTGTGTGTGTGTGTGTGTGTGTGTGTGTGTGTGTGTGTGCTGTCTCTAGTGTTGTGTGTGGAAGTGAGTGCTCCCGTCTCTAATAGGATCTTTGCGGAGACGAAAGCTGATCTCATCTTAAAAGCTAATTTCTTGGATATCAGTTGCGTGGCTCAGAGGTTGATGGAGGAGGGGAAAGTAACCCCCAAGCGCTAGCTGGCGCTCTCGAGGGTGAGCGGGATGGTGCGCAAGCGGAGGCGAAGCGGTTGTGGGAGCAAACTGGCGTAAAAGTGGAGGAGCTTCATCTTCTGAGCTTTGAATTAAACTCCGGCTGAAGGTATCACAGAACCCAACCAATGGGCTTTGACTAAACGGCGCGTTCACACTTTGGACAGACGGGCTTCTTGAGACTCACCGATGCAGTTGAAGCCCTTCTCCTTGTGGCACTTCTTCGAGCAGCCGTCGCCATCTAACAGATTACCATCGTCGCATTCTTCTGCCCTACAGAGACAGTGCAGTCGCTATCGGCTTCGTCCTTCGACGGTAGATCGCATAGTCACACCGTATGCATACCCTTGAATGACGCCGTCTCCGCAGTAGGGCTGCCCGTGAGTGTAAAAAAGGGATGGGGAAGAATTGCTGAGAAGACCGTCAATCTCCACCTGAATCATGTACTCGTATCTTTCCCCCCTTCTTACAGTTCTGGAGACAAGAAAGATAGATGGCTTTGTGAAGTTGCAGCTCCAGCTACACAAGAGCTTTGTAAATTGAACACATTTCCAAAAAGCAATCCGCTCCCCGACTACTTCTTATGTGTAAGGACTTCCATGTCAGATAGCACAAGCTCGAGCGCGCACAGTTCCCCCCCCAAAAAAAAGGCTCCAACTGTTACCGGTACTTTTTTTTTTCCTTAAAAGGCAAAACGATCAATAGAATAATAGAATATCGGATAAAAGAGCAACAGAGGTTGACTGAACTCTATCTTAGCCTTCATGCTTTAGTCGGCTGTGAAACATTCATGCCATACTTGAATCGACACTTGGGGGTCACCTGTCCGTGAACGTCTGCTGGGCCTGAGGGGGCGGCAATTTGCCGGTGAAGGGCGGCCGCCGGTGAACCCGATACAGAAAAGGTTGACAGCCAGAGCAGAGATGACTGCCGGGGCCGGAAGACAACATTGCCGCATCGATCTCCATCTTCTCATCAAAGGTGCAGAGCTTTACGGCACTGATGGCAACATTGTTGGTATCGAGGCGCAGGGTGAAGAGCATGTCACAGAAGACGTGCTGTGGTCCAAGGTGGATAGTTTTACCTGAGTCTGTTATCAGCTGTATGTCAGCGATAGCAGGATTATCTGAGAAGTGAGTGGGCGAATACCCTCGTTAGTTTCACTGAAACATGAATACTGCAACAAAATCCCGATGAACATTTGGTTTTGATTCTTACGCCCCGTACATAGGGGATATACGTCTAGGCCCAAAAGCATTGGGAAAAATGACAGGGTTTGACGATTTCACTTTTTAAGAGCACCGCAGGGATTTGGATTCGTCCGGTTGGGATTGAAGTGTGCAGTGCGGCATTTCACCAGAAATATGCACGCTACAATTTATCCGTTGTGGGGGATCTGCGATGGCAAAATCATATCCTGTAAATCAGGGGTGTCCAAACTTTTTCATTGGAGGGCCCCATAAAGAAAAATGGAGATGTGAAAGGGCCGCTTTAAAATTTGTTGAAACGCGCTAAAGTCAGTCAAGAAAGCCATTCGATATTGTTTGTATTGTTCATCGGATTTCTGTTATAGGTGTTACGGTAAACGTTAAATGTCATTTTTATTTTTTTCATTGTCATGTCGCGGGCCGCTGAAAAAGGGACGGCGGGCTGCAAATGGCCCCCGGGTTGTTGAAACGCGCTAAAGTCAGTCAAGAAAGCCATTCTATATTGTTTGTATTGTTCATCGGCTTTCTGTTATAGGTGTTACATTAAATGTCTTTTTTTTTTTTTTTTTATTGTCATGTCGCGGGCCGCTGAAAAAGGGACGGCGGGCTGCAAATGGCCCCCGGGGGCCGTAGTTTGGACACCACTGCGGTAAATGCTCTCAAATTCCAAATACTTGCAAAAGTCATCAAACCATGCCTTTATGGATTTGGACGAAAGTCCTTCTATAAATTTGGCACAGATTTGAAAACTTAGAATTTTACAAATGTTTAGTGTGTCCAAAGTTTTTTTTGTTTTTGTTTTTTTGCTGCTATACCGTTTCCAAATGATGAAGTGAGACTTACTTGTGGAGACGTATGTTATCCACAGGGTGAGAGTGTTTGGGACAATGGGGTAGCGAAATTTCAGTGTAAGGGTGCAGCCCTCTGTTTCGGGGCAAGGCGATGTCACGTTCGTATCGTAAAGGCTGAGGTCAGGACTCCACGCTTGGAGGCTCGGCTCACACGGCTGCTCCACATCGGGCGGGCCTGCAGTTCAAAAATACAACACAAAATAGGACCGTTCATCTTTCTTGAGTAACATGCGATATGTTGACATCGTCTCACGTGCAGTGTGTCACAGTTTGCTGTCGATGATTCCATTTCGACATGCTGAAGACCCGCCGTGTCGAACGTACAGCACGCAGGTCTGGCTCTGTCTATTCAGGGGGTCAAATCTAGTCCGTGTGTTTTCGGCCCTTTGGGTAGGATCTCTGTTATTCAGACAACCCCCCGCCCCCCTCCCACCAGAAGAGTTGGAGGATGTGGCTGGGGAGAGGGAAGTGTGGGCTCCCCTGCTAAAGCTATTGCTAAGCAGTAGAAAAGGGTATGGGATGGTATTTTGACCCCAAGTAGAACTGGAAGTGTTGGGACTGTGTTGGCACACATACATAAATGAGGGCACAGATCTGAATTCAAATGTTTTAGTGAGACATGTGACTGACCAATAGCCTCATCGGGTGCCCAGTAGCCCGACGTGTCACATTTGCGAGGTGAGGCCGCCTCATAGGCGTATTGGTGGAGAACGCCGTCTTTCTCACATTCCCTGCAGTTGACCGCAGCCACGTGGGAGGAGGAGCTAAGGAGAAGAGAAAAAGATACCGTGGCTATTTTTGCTTGTCTCAATCATGCGGCCATTTTGACCCAACAGCAATGCTGGCTATTTCAATGCATGAAGTGGTACATTAGATTTCAAACAAAAATGTGGAATTTGGGCAAAATGTTGATTGGTGGGGGGGTGGTGGGGGGAATCTCATCAGAACTCATCAATGCAAACCTCAAGTTACAAAAAGGAGCACGGGGTGTAAACAGGGGAAATGGGATGTCAATCTTGTCAGTGGGGGAGCTGCTAGCTGTTGCTAACTGCCCTGCTGTTGTTGGGGGGTTTTTTTCCCCCGTTTTAACTTGATTTAAAGGTAGCAGGCTTTATTGATTTCCAAACCTAACAACTACAAAAAACCCACTGTAAACAAAAATCATACAGAATGTAGTTCAGTACCTTGCACAGAGTGGCCCTGTTAATGGTGCAAGCCAATAAATCGAGACCGAATCCGGACTCTGGTCAGTCACCATTGCTGGCAGGGGGACGGTAACTGGGAGACGTTCCAACAACCAGTTTGGATAGACCAAGTCAAGGTAACAATGCATCCTGGCGACTTGGTTGGGCGTAAAATGATCGGTGCAGTTGTCATCTATGAAAGGGGGGAAATAAATAAACGAAGGAAACATTATGAAGGGATCATTGCGGATGATGTTCAAATTGCAGCCCTCGATAGTTGCCGTGCTAAACATTCAGAGGCAGGCGGTGAGATGGATAAAACTATTTGTTGTTGTTTCTCCCTCTGAACAACTTGACTCACCTGTGTAACTCATGTAATTGCTATAAGGGGTGTCCTGGTACATGCTGACGCCACATGTATCGTTAACAGCTCCGGGATCGTGGCAGGCTTTGGATTTGGGTGTCGGCGCAGTGTCAGCGCAGAGATCTCCGGTTTCCATGGATGGCGTGGTTTCCTACATACGCACGGGACAAAATCAAACAAAAGTAAGAGAAAAGCTCGATCCAGATGCGTATGTCAACATTACACAGGCAGCAGATGACAAGCCAATTTCTTCCGTCTTATGATTCTTGATGAGGGGCAGGGAGGCGGCAGTATTTTCCCAAATTGATTTTTTTTGAAGCCGATGCAAATTTTGAGCAGAAGTTACTGCGTAATCAGACAAATTCCGCCCCACTGCATTCTGGCTATTTGTGCACTGGCCTAGTCCCGATTCCCTGCGAATAGCGGGGGTCAAGTGTAACTATCTTGCAGGGTCCAACAACGAGCCAAGTTGCGGTAGCCCTGCCAGAGTCAGCGCCGGGCCTGATAGAAAGCATCCATCCATCCATGATCTGAGCCGCTTAGCCTCAGGAAGGTGGCGGGCACCCTGGAGCCTACCCCAAGCTTCCTTCGGGCAGTAGGCGGGGTCCACCCATTCACCGGTTGGGCCTTAGTATTTTCCACGTCAAATCACAATTTGCTGAAGGCATCTTGGGAACACTCAACTAGAAATGGTTCCTCTCAAAAGAAAATACAGAACCGTCGATGTCCTGTCAATGAAGTCTCACGTTGCAGTTTTACCTGACATGGGTCATCACAGGAGTCTCGTTCGCTCACTCCCTTGAAGACGTGGTACAGTCCAAATATATGGCCCAGTTCATGGATCATGGTGTTGTGGTGTCCGCTGGTGCCGAAGTAGGATGGGTTCAGCACCATTCCACCTGAGAAACACAGCTAGATGTGATTTGTAAGCTTGAAGCATGGCGGTATTATGGGCGTTGTTGCCTCTGAGCTGCGCGCGTGAGCAATCTGGGGGCTATTGTTACCGTCACTCGCAGTTATTTTTTAGCTCTTTCTCTCAGGGTCTCGTTCAACTGCTGTTGTTTCCTTCGGTCCACCCACTGGACGTCTGCTTCTTGGTACACTGGTGGTTCATCTTTTAGGACGGCGCTAATGGTTGCGATGGCAACGAGCAATGTTTTGTGGCATGGGTCTGATCCCTTTTCTAACTTCTCTAAGCTTCACCATTGCTAGTTAGCCGGTCTAAGCTCCTGTTGTTTTCCCCCGGCCAGCGCCCATGACGCTCACGAGTCCACGGCACTCCTCTTTCCGCTTTTTGGACAGCCTCGGGATGCTGGAACCCTTCGTACATTTTTGTTTTGATATCAGTGGATGGCGTCTCTTTCGGCGGCCGTGGTGTTATGCTAGCGGGGTATCTGATTACGGGCAGGCCGTAGGTGTTAATGGCCCGGATCGTATTTTTGCTGTTCAGATGACGATTCAGGACCCGGGTCACACATAAACACTAAGGCTCGAACGGCTTTTGGAAGCCAATGAACCGTTTTGGTTCATATATGTTTGGAGGATGTAAATCATCACCACCAAATCTGAGAGCGTTATCGATCCGTGTCAAATTCTACAATTCTGTAAGATGACGCCATTTCCAAGTATTTTTCTTTTCCCTTTCCTAAAGCAAAAATGATACTTGAGTATTCCGTGGCGTAGATTCTACAAGATGTTTGTTGTGCCGGCGCAGTGTGGTGGCACAAAATAAGAGGAGAGGTAATAAATAAATGAAAAACAGCTGTACAGTGGAAATGGGTGGCAACCGTACGGCGCCCACACTGCCGTTTCTGTGTTTTGTTGTTGGGTTGCTTTGCCTTTTCCACTGGAAAGTGGTCTCATGATTGGGAGAGGAAAGTGGCAAGATGCCAGGAAATCTTTACCACCTTGTTCTCTCCATCTCATTTGGAGAATAACAAAGCCGACGCCATAGCGGAAGATGCCAAGTGCAGACAGTGAAGGGATGAACAAGAGAGTGAGAACCGCGTTTCACTCTCCCCATTCAAAAGACAATATCTTTCAAATTCTTTTCTGCAAATCAAAAGGCTTTCGATTATTCATCCATCCATGAACTCTGAAATCGACCGGAGAAGAGTGATGATCACAGCCACCGGTGGTTTTCGCGATGATCTCAACGCATTTACCGCCATTTACGCCAATAACGACTTCATCGGAGTTAGCTATTACTTTGTGAAGGTGTGCGGCGTGGGCCAAGGAAGAGTGCGTTCAACGCGATTCACTGCGAGATGGACAAAAACTCAACATCGCTATTGACTGTAACAAGCTTGATATATATCTGCGTTGCATTTGTAGTCAGTAGCTGGGGCCGTGTCGTGTGCATTGTCTTGTTGCGCTTGCCAGGCCCTTAGTGTGGCCAAATTAGTTGTTACCTTGATGGGTGAGCGCTTCCTTTGCCCATGGCCAAGTTGCAGCTCCTGCCAGCTCCTCTCGTGCAGAGTTGCTGGCAAAGAAAACATTCAGGGTATCGGTGCCGCTGAGGTGAAGCTCCTCTTTAAGCTCTTTCACACTCATGTAGGCCCTGTGGCAAAGGTGAAAGGAAGTCTCACTTATTGATTCGAATCGGCAAATAAGAATTTCGCTGACAGATACTAAATGTGTATCAAATGAGCATTCCGAGAGGCTCCCTGAACAGAATGTGATCGTAAATTGTGCTTTTGTGTATTGGAAGTGTATTTCAAGAGAGGATATTTAAACTTTAGTTGATTATTTTACACGTTTTTCCCTGTAAGTCTAGCCCATGTGTATTATGGTTGGAATATTTGTGTCAGAGTATATTTTGTACTTATTGTGAATATTCAGAAGATAAGATCCTCGCTTGAGCTGCTGGAGAAGAAGCTCCTGTGCTCGAGTGATATCTCCCTGTTCCGGGCTGTAACGTACACACGAGGAACGACTGTAGGCCCGAACTACCGCCTTGTGCCCGTGGACTACTACAGCGTGTGCACAAAATAGCTAGAAAGTGCGCACAATGTAGCCGTGAGTCCTCGGGTCACTCGAATAAAAAAAAATCAAACGCACCTTCTTTCAAGCCGTGAGTCCTCGGGTCACTCGAATAAAAAAAAAAAAAAAAAAAAAAAATCAAACGCAAATTCTTTCTAAGTTGAAAGGTCGAAGGGAAGCTACTTAATGGACAGGGACGGCGTGATCAAATACTCATTTAGGCTCGGGATGAGTGACGAGGACATGATGAAAAGCTCGGCATCGCGAGGGATCATGATTTTCAATCGACTGTCGAGAGCCAGCTTGCTTCACCGGCGGAGGTACGGCTTGGACGCCGGGATCCATTTTATTGTTGCCCATGTCTGGGGCTCCGTACTATTCCTGCTTGTCTCCCAGACTGCCATTCACACGCGCACCTGAGTTGAAACTGAAAGAACTCTTACCTGCGCTTACACTAAATCCGACAAGTGAAGAGCATCTTTTTTTCAGTCATTCATTTCTGACAGATGAGAGGGACACATTTTAATGATTGATTTTTATGGGTCCCTGGCCTCTTGAACTGTTGATGTTTTGGGGGAAACGTTTCAGTAGTCACGGCTCTTTTTTTTTTTTTTTTTTACAGTGGAATACAGAGAATGACTAACAGATCAGCGCTCTAATCCAGTATCGCGGTGATGCCCTGAGAATGTTTTTCATTTGTAAATATTCTTTCCAGCCATCAATGTAAATCATGGAACTTTTTTTTTTTTTTTCAAGAGTTGGATCTATGTGATGAGAACCCGTTACGCAACACTAGGACCGCAAAAGTAGTAGCTGTATAATTTTATTCCACCTCTATGGATTTACTGATCCTCAGTCCTCCAGAGGGAAACGTTTGGTCATAAAAACTAATCCTCCAAATTTATGTCTGCCTATACCAGCGGGTCTCCAGCTGTTCTAGTTGGGGCCACGTCAAGACGGGCATGTGCCACATTGATTTTCCAAACTACTTGAGAATTTACAGTCCTAAGCGTCATGATATCGGAGTCCCTTCTAAATGTCATCTCGGCATTGGGAGACAATAAGCAACATCAGCCATGTTATCTCATGAAAAGGCCTCCAATGACAGCTTGGATTTTACTGTGGATATGTTGTTTCGTTTCTCTAATCCTGATGAATGTGACAATCATTCATCTTTTTTTTTTCTTTTTGTGACCCGTAGAAGCATGGATTTCACAAGTCACCGAAAAGAGTCTTGTGGCGTCAAACATCTGAAGATCAAGTGTTTTGGAAATCTAAAACAAATCGCAATGTTCTTTTCAATTCTGTAGCAAACAATTGTTGAAGCGCGTCGACGAACAGATCGCCGCAGCCCGAAAAGTGAGCACCCGCGCGCTTTTTCTGACTGGAAGCGCATGGGAGGCTATGCCGCTTAATGTGGAAATCAACGTTTCGCAAGTATACGGGTTGTTTGTGCTGTCTCACTTCCTGTTGCCGTGATGTCTTACGATGCCCGCGGAAGAAAAAATGAGACGGAAAAATAAATTGAACAAAATCAAAGCAGCAAACATAGCGAGCTTCCCTCGGAAGAAGCACCTGAAGAAGCGGCATCGGTTGACTCACCTGTCAGGTGACTCCGGATCGAAACAGGTCTTGAGAACATCCGTCACTTGCGGGTCACAGCAGTCGCCGTCATCGTAGTCGTAGTGTACGCTGTTACATTCCGTGTTACAAACTCCGTTCTGTCTCTTCCAGTTGTAGCAAGGTCCGAGTCTGAGGCAGTCCCCTCCGTCGTGGCCTGTCCTCGGGTGGTCGCACTCCGGATCGCAATGGCGGTTCCCAATTTTCCCGATGCGACAGTTGCTGAGAACGAAACGCTGCCGCAGGCTCGTGTTTCTGACCGGGTCCACCGTCAACTCGAGGGTGATGTTGTAAGGGCGAAAGGCATCAATCAGAGCCCGGTGTTGCAGGCGAATCTGGTCTTGTGACACCGTGGCGTTCCCGCCGTCGTCATCGGAAAGGTTAATAATCCTGTAGCGGACTTGTTTGGGTGTACGGAGCGGCCAGTAATTGTTGTAGCCGGAAATGATGTCGGTGTTGTCACAAGGTGTGAGACCGCAGGGTGGCGGCAAGAAGGGGGAGACCAGCTGCAAAGCGGGGAGAGGAGTGGCGATGACAGCTGGATGGAATCCATCTTTGAACGGAGTCCACATCTGATCCACCTTCAAGCAGGAAGGAAACGGCATTGAAACGGCAATCGGCTGCAGCAGACCACGTAAGTGGCGTATGACAACAGGTGACGTCGACGCGTACACGGCGCTGGTTTTCAACAACATGCCGACTTGCGTGAGCAATGCTGCTTTTTCAGGCCAGCGATTTAAACCCTCTTGTACGTTGAAGCCTTCCGTGTACGTGTCGACCCGACCGATTAGTTCAGAGGTGTCAAACTCATTTATGTGGCGGGCCACTTTTGAGTGACGTCTACCCTCGGAGGGCCCTTACGACAGTGAAACCGAATCCACGATTATTCGTCTCATCGCACTACTTGGATGGATTACTAGTTTTGAAATTGCTTAAGTCAACTATTCCCCCCCCCCCGCCAGACAATGGTCTTTTTTTGGTTGAAGAGAAAACCTCTGACCTCGGTTCGGCTGTCACTTCAGCCTTCGATGGAGCTGTCACTGCTTCCCGGTGACGTGTCTTAAAATTGGCGCTTGGTTTGTTATTTGTTCAACTATTGTTTCAATGGATGTAAACGGGAAGAAAATGACGGCAAAATCTCCGCGTTATTTATTCCACATGACAATTTGACATTTCGGTCCAGATTTTAGCAAGGATCGTGCAAGTCGAGAGGGCGGATTTGCTTTCGCGGGCCGGATCCGGGCCCCGGGCCTTGAGTTTGACAGCCGCGGATGAGTAGGTTGGAGAGGCGGGATCCGAGATAGCTACATTTGTAAAGTCAGCCCACATGGCCAGAAGAGGCTGCGTCTTGAGGAGGGGTCGCATCTGCAGGTCCTCATGGGAGAGGGCGTAGTCCCACAAGTGCACACCCGCGACTTGGCCTCGGAAGCCCTGGCCCTGCTCTGATTGGTTACTGCCCAGGATGAAGGTTCTGCAGGTCTTCATGAAGGAACTGTAGAGATTGCCTGACTGGAAACTGCTTTCTCCCACCTGAGAGGGAAATCAATCATTGTAGCCAGGACGACAAGACGGAAACAATTTCAGTTGGCATTGCTCTCCCAAAATCATTTGGAATTTGACAAAAATGCGGATCGCGGTCGAGCGGCGTTACTCGCTACACCAAATTAGATGAAAGACTTGATCTCACAGTAAACTCGTGTATTCTCTGAACAAAATATTTGAAGTGGAACCTCCCACGATGGTACTTGACCGGGAATTTTAGGAGGAATGGTTCCGAACTGCAGTCATGAACGTATGATGAGCATTTTTATTTTCTTTGCGTTTGTGTTGATTTTAATCCAAGTGGGAACAACCCGAACAAATTTTCCAACTTTTTGGTGCATTGTACACAATTCCAACCAGGCTTAGCATTTTAAGGACTGTCACTTTGGGAAAATATTGTCAGAAATGTTAGATGAGGGCAACAATTAAACAAAAAATGATTTTAGTTTTTTTGTTTCTGACTTAAAAGTGATATCAAAGACCGAAGTGAAGCTGTTGCAATCACTTGCCATGCCAAACCCACACACCTTGGCTCCATCAACGTACAGGGTCATGTTGTGGCTATTGTAAGTGGCAACCAGGTGAGCCCAGGTGTTGGCCGAGTACTGCTGGTGGGTAACGACAGTGGTAGCTTTCAAGGCTCGGTCTGTGCGAAGCGTGAAGTAGAAACGTGCGTCCTTGGTACCTGCGGGATCCAGACTGCGAATGCCTACTGACCAGCCCTTCTCGCTCTGTGAACGGGAACAGTTGTCGTATACACCTACAACGCAGAGGCAAAAATGTGAATTGTTTGCTGTGTAAAACAACAGAAACATATATAAACATTATAAAAATTAAAAGAAAAAGTCATTTCCTGAGGCCCGATGCAGAATGAGCAGCGCGTCTGGTGATGGACCCTCGCCAGAGAGAATAGACAGAACCACGGGGACAAAACAGAGAAGTAACGAGAGCATTTCAGAGTGCCAAAGTATGGCCTGCATGTTTCCATTTACTCTTGCAACAGACAGACAGTCAGCCTCGCGACGACATCTGTAGCGCAGATGTTAAACTGTGGGACAGGACAACTAAAGGTCAGGGAACCCCTTCTCTCTTACCACAAATCTGTCTGTGTGTGTGTGTGTGTGTGTGTGTGTGTGTGTGTGTGTGTGTGTGAACAAGGTAACATTGGAAAAAAAAAATAGCTTTAAGAAGAGGACTTTGTAAAATAGTTAATGGCTTGAATTAAATCCGACCACGGTGGCTGGAACGCCATACGTTGCCATTTCCACTACCCGATGAAAATTCCAGTGTGTGTGTGTGTGTGTGTGTGTGTGAGAACAAGGTAACATTGGAAAAAAAAATAGCTTTAAGAAGAGGACTTTGTAAAATAGTTAATGGCTTGAATTAAATCCGACCACGGTGGCTGGAACGCCATACGTTGCCATTTCCACTACCCGATGAAAATTCCAAACCATAGAATTTGCCAAATGACGCATTCATGTTTGTACATTACATGTTGATATGAACCAAAAATTTTCTGTGGTGCGCTGATTTGGGAATGGATGCCTGAATTCTTATCAGGACCGTCACTATCATGTAACATGGAATAAACAAGACGATTTGGGAATGGATGCCTGAATTCTTATCAGGACCATCTCACTATCATGTAACATGGAATAAACAAGATGGACATCAAGATCATTTGACCATGTATGAGTGGAACCAATGGTCGACTGGTTAGCACGTGCCTGTGGGGGTTTTCTCCGACTCCTCCAGTTTCCTCCCATGTTCCAAAAACATGCATGGCAGGTGTACGCAACACTGGAAATTGTCCCTGGGTGTGAGCGTGAGCACGGATGGTCATTCATCTACGTGTGCCTTGTGACGGGCTGGCAACCGGTTCAGGGTGCCTATTGCCTGGAGACAGCTGGGATCGGAAATGTACTGACAGCAACGATGACGGATTGACCTACTGACGATTACAATTTGGTTCGTGTTAAAAAAAAAAAAAAAAAAAAATGACAGACTGGTAATGATTGACAGGTGCCTGTGACTCTGATTGAAGACGAATGACAGACCGGCAACATTTTGAAAATTGCCCGCCCCTGTCCGTAACATGTTTCACACATTATTTGGTTGATTTTCCTCAAAATCCTAACTTAATTTCAAATGCTAATGCGCTTATTGCGCCTTATGGCCAGTGACTAATAAAAGTGGACAAAAGAAAAGCGCCTTGTTTTATCCATGATGGAGACGCCACCACACGTCATCGCATCACCGCCATCCTCGAGCAACAATCACCTTCGGTGTCTCACGATCTTCTCAACGCTCTGACTGAAAAACGTCGCAAACTTCGGCAGGAACGAGTGTTTGGTACCTGACATTGCAACAAGCATACCAGCGGTCAGCTCGCATTTCGCATAGAGTGTTGATGAAAGGCAAACGGATCACCAGAAAACAAAATCCAAACTGAAAGACATTCATGACAGCATCTCTAATAGCTTCACTCTAAAGTAGCCGCTTATAACATCTCATCAAAAATAACAATACGTATTGCAGTCTAAGCTGCATTATGTTCTACATTACAAACATGAACATAACAGCACATAATAGACTCAGTTTCTTGTAGCTTTGTCTTCCCCCCATTGTGATTACCAGGATTTCTTCTGGCCACAAATAGCAGAAAGAGTTGAGGAATGGTGTTTGATCTTTGATCACAGTAAATGGAAGCAGACATAATTGTTTGCAGTCTTGCTCGCTATCAGGGCTGCGAAGGCGGTGCGTGCAGGTGCTTTGATTCCCCTTCATTTGTGTGATCTACGTGTTACTCTTTCAAATGAACAGCTGACAGTGGCATTCATCATGACAAGAAAAAATGGTTGTTCGCACCCACTGGAATGCTGCGGGGTTGAAAAAATAATCCTAAAGCTACTAAAAATTGTCGAACAATTCTATAAGGCCACTTATTTATGGATTTATTTATTTACATACGTATCATTCTTAAATGTGGATTATCAAGACAATTTTAATCTTGAATAGACAACACAAGTAAATCGAAAATGCGATTTCCAAATTATGATTTTTTTTTTTTTTTAAGGGAATAAAATCCAAACCTATCTGGCCCTAAATGGAAAAAAAATGGTGAGCTTTTTTCAATCAGTGACGCCTAATAACTGTTATGCCCTTCCTGGACACTAGTTGGCGGTATGGAGCACAAAATGTTATAATCCGCCCCTCACAATATGAGAAGAAGAAGAATAGTCTCCCGACCCCAATTCGGAGGATTCGTTTCACACGTTTTTGACGTTCTAAAACAAATGTCAGGTTGGTTTCTCTGTGAGACACTGTTTAAAATCATTTTACGTTCAGATTCTTTTGGACAGACGTCAATAGGCTTCCGTTGTGTTGCTCAAGCTAAAAATAAATGTGTTGCTGTATAGCACCCTCCAGTGGTTTTGTACGTTTTGTACCTTGTGACCAAACAGCAAATTGTGTGCACAAAACGTCTTTGTACTTAATCTATAGTTAAATATATTTCAATGTTTAGAGACTCTGACTTGGTTTTTTTTCATGAAATAAATTATTTGGCATATTTTTTGGACCCCCTGAAATAGACCCCCCCCCCCTCCCCAAATGAAAAATCCTGGCTGCGCCAGTGGGCAGTTGGACAATAACATGAAACATACCAGCAAATCCACTGAATTGTTAAATAATCATCAAGAAATAAATGTTTTTGACATGGAATGATGTGATGTGGATGATAAAAGTCAAGTGAAAAAAAATTTCAGAAGATCGTCAATCTTAAATTCAAAGAAACCTTCTTGTTGATGAATTGGAGTTCACACAACAGTTTGGCTACAACTGATTGCCATGCAGTAACCGTAAAAGATTGGGAAGACATGAGGTCATCGTGTTGCACAATCTGTTGTTTCCAGGAGTTTGAAGTTCAGTAAATCACATTCAGTGTCTGGCCTATTGCTCACTTGCAAGTGAAAAAAGGGCTCTAACTTTGAAAACACAAATATTTATACGCTTATGAACACACACACAGACACACACACACACGCACTTACACACACACACGATCATCCCGAAGCCACCTGCCGTGACTGCAACAGGTTCTTGCCTCTCCAAAAACGTTTTTTTTTTTTTTTTTTATCTGTTCACAGCCTTTCAGCAAACCACATGGTGTGCCATGTTTCCCTTGCATATTTTCACTTGATGTCTGTGGTTGATGTGTCATTGGTTACCACAGGAACGTTATTTTTGGTTGGAGCTCAAACTATTTGTTTATTGTAGGTTTTGAAAATGTGCTGGAAGTAAAATAAAACAGGGTACACACGCTGATAATCAGGCTGGATTCTGGCACCCCCTACACCCCCCTTCTTTTCCACTCAAGTCAGCAAAGGCCCGTTTGTGAGATGACTCGAGAAAAAAAAACTGCCTGAGATGCTTCTGTGTGGGGTGTGCTGGTTGCAATTTTAGCAATGCTGCTGCATACAAACAGAGGTGCAACAAATTGTGTTACGTGTACTGTGTCGCCCAAGTCATTGGGCACAACGAAAAAAAGAGAACAGCTTGCCAAGCGAACAATCTTCTTCAATTACTTCTACTACTACGAGCTCTTTTTATTTTGTTTGGCAGTCGGAACGACCAGGTTGCTAATGACAGGTTCTTCAATTGATCAGTTGCAGGAACGTCACGTGACGACGTGAGTGCACCGTGACGGAGTTCGGTTGACACCCTTGTCTATTCGGATATCCGACCGCACAGCAAGATAGGATCATTTTCGAAGATAATGGCTTCTAGGGACAGAAACTGGACCGCTTCACGGTCATTTCGACGGTTATTTTGTATTTATTTTGCCGTCCGTCATGGCGGAAGGGGCGTTGCCACAAAGGCTGTGACGTAAGGCGCAAAAGGTGAACTTACTGAACACACAAATGTGCCACACAAATGACGGTAGTTCACTGGGGCGCACGATCCCTGTTGATTGAATGCAACGCATTCAAGTCAATTCCGTGTGTGATGAGAGAAAGTCGAAGAGCAAAAATGAGCGAATGTGACCCACCTGCAATGACTGCAGGGCTGCTCTGCCCACCTTCCGGATTCACCCATAGCTCCAAGCTGAATTTGTCCCTGGGCAGCTCTACCCCAGCAGACGGCTTCAGTCTCAGCTGCTCCTGGCGCCCGCTGAAGTACAGGCTGGTCATCCAAGAGGGGGGCACCTTTGGCACGGGTTTCCCCCACTGAGACGCGTTGCCGACAGACCGGCGTGCGGTAGGATCAACATCTGCGGTCGAGTCCCAGTTGCCGTCGACCGGGCTACTAGTTGAAGCTCTTTCGCCCTCGTCTTGTTGCATTTTCTGAGGAATTTGGAGCCGGGTAGAATCGGAGCTTCCGGGGGAGCTCGAGTTTCCCTCGTTTGGGGCACCTCGTTCGAACCTGGAGGCGCGCGATGGTCGACTCTGCCTGTCAGTCCAAGGCCGTGTGCCTCCATCCTCGTGAGCATCTCCCTGCGACGTATGTGACGTTCGCTCCTTTCCCGCACGTGGCGAAGCACCCGGAGTTCCTCGATCGACCGGGGCGACGACTCTGCACCCTCCTTCGCAACCAACAGGAGCGCTCGTGGCAGCAGGGAGCTCTCGCCGGTTCGTCCTCGGGCTGGCCACTGAACGGCGGTGTTGAGTCGGGGAGAAGGCTTGCTGCTGCAGCAGCTGCTGCTGCTGCTGCTGCCGCTGCTGCTGCTGCCCGGGAACACGGGTGGTGACCGAGGTTGGCTGGGGGTTTCTGACTCTGCAGCAAAGCAAAAGAGGGATGTAAGCGGACCG